GAAGACAAATGATTTAAAAAAAAACCGCTTGGTTCCATACTTTATATTCACCCTGTATACAAAATCATTAAATAGACATAAAAAATGTCAAATGTCAAAAAAATTTTACAGATAGAATTTTTTAAACATTTTTTTCATGTTCCTTTTATCTTACCTTACTTGAAAATTTTCTCTGGGGCGCGAGTTCTGGCGCATCTTGTATAATACATTTTTTCTATTTGTATTTTTTCAATAAAAACTTTCAAATTTTCAAATTAAAAATTCCGAAATATCTTCGTTGTGATAGAAACGGAACTACATTAAAAGAATTGCATTGTTGTGATTATTTATTAACATTGAACGGCTCGTTTACACAAAATTATGGAGGAAAATAAACAAAACAATAAGAATCTTGCAAAATGTTATATAGAAAAGTTGTTTTACTTGGTAAGTTCTTTTACGTGTTAAAATTAACACCCTGTATACCACTTAAAAAAGCAACACAAAATTAAAATAGGTGGTAATTTTTTATTTTTCTAAAAAAAAGTTGTTGACACTAAATTATTGAAATTGGTGTGTCGTGTTCCTGTAATTACGTAAATTCCAACTTTTAGTAACAAGTATGTAGTTTCAAAGTTAATTAAACTCAGCTTAATGAATGAAATTTCAAGCAAAAGTTACCCAGTTTAGAAAATGTTTAATTAACGTGTCAAAATGAAAATCAACAATGTTTACACAGTTTTTTAATAAATAAAAATAATTTGATACTAAAAGAGTCATAAATTTGATAAAACTTGCATGTCTCTCTCTCTTTCTTTCTTTCTGCAAGTGACGCATTACACATACCCTGCGCTTTCTATCGATCCGCCAACTTCATGTCAGGTAATTCCCTTGGGGGTGAGGGGTGGATTCTTGACCTAAGAAATAGTTGCATCATTAAGCATTTCCTTTACACTGGAAAAATCGAGACGTTGTCTACATATTTTCGACGTTTCTATGCTTTTTTGAGCGTAACAATTTTAATCAAGCGAATACATGATCATCGATTAAAACCACTCAGACTATATTAAATTAAATCTCTTACGGATGTGTGTCACGTTTCGATGTTTTTGATCCGAAAGAGATCGAAATGAAATAATTTCATGAACGTAAACAAACATGATGGATGTGTTTTTAGCGAGAAAATTGTAATTTATCAAGTTTCTTTCATCTTTTTATTGACCAAAAGTCATCGCACATTGTTACAAAATACACAATCATGATTTTGTTATTCTACAAATGAAAGAAAAATTGGCACGGAACACATCACGAAGCAAAAACAAAGTCACTAGCCGGATTTTTCGCAATATGCGTTTCGTGTGTTATTTTTTAGCCATGTCGGCATTGAGAAGACCTTCATCGTAGAGGTCCTGAAGGAGTGCAAGGAGACGTTCTTCCATTTGTGCATTTCCCAAAGCCAAATCAACTGAACCAATACATAGGAGTAGAGCTAAAAGTTGCGAACGTTTATAGTCCTCTCCCAATTGCATTCGGTTATAACCGAGTTCTTTTTCAACGTCAAGGTTTAACCGTAAACAAGTCTGAGTAAGATTCGTCCAATAACCATCGAGTAATTTCTCGGTGTGTAATCGTCTTAATTCGGCCGGAACCGAACTGATGAGTAACAAAGCCAGATCATTGGTGGCTCTACTATACGTCACCATTTGCCAATCTAAAATGGCACAAGTGCTCGTGTTTTCGTCCTCTTGAAACATGAGATTATTACACCAGAAGTCCGTGTGTGTAATAAGTGCCATTGGTTCTTCCGGTGAGAGTAAATTTTCGATGATGTCTTTGGTGTGAGGTCGGAGGTCATTCAAAGCGGCTAAGACACTCTCCTGACCGGGACGTCGTTCGAGGAATTGTGAAAGTTGAGGAAGACCTCTTTCGACGAGTTGTTGATAGGAGTCGGAAGCTCGTGTTGTTTGAAAGAGGAAGGGGTAGCGTTCGACCAATGATTTACCTTCTTTGATTTTGAGTGCGAGAGAAAGTCCATGGATGCGTGCGATGGCGTCAACGGCTGAAGTGGTTTGACGAAGAGTTAAACCACGTGAAAAATCGGCACTGTTGTAACCGGAAGGTTTGATGTTTTCTAATACGAGGACGGATTCAGGGGGGCTCGGTTCCGGGTCACTACTGCCGGAGGAGTAGTGGGCGTAATAGCATTTGGGGATGGGGAGTGGGAGGGTGGTGTCCGGGGGGAGATGTTGCGATTTGAACGATTCCAAATCGGGCACTACCTGAAAAAAATTTTTTTTACAATATACCACACAGAAAAATTAAAAAAAAATTAATGAAATTTGTCCATTTTGATTGAATTTTTGTTTTGCATTTTGCCATTTTTCCCGTTTAAAGCGTCCAAAATTGAGTTCATGTTTTATTAAGCGACAAAAACGGACTTAATACGTTTTAGTATAGTTGAGAAATGGAGAAAATTTTCAAGAGATGTTTTTTGAGAAAGATTTTTTTCACATAAACTTATTATTTTTAAGTTTTGATTTATTTTTAATATCCTACATGAATGTTTAAGAGTCTAAAATACAAAGTAGCCTATAATAATAAAAAAAAAGATATTAAATTTGCATTTTTGAAGATCCGTATCTACTTAAGAAAATTTGCTATAACATTTTGGTTTAGAGTTTGTAGTATCATTAGTTAAAAAACACTATGGTTCTTTTGAATCGCCCTGTACTTAAAAAGTATTAAATATTAAAATTAACGTAATTAGTTAATTCTTAATTAAATGTTTAAAAAAAACATTTTAAATCGAGAGGTATCGAGAGACTTTTAATGTTTTTTTTATTATTTAAAATACGTATTTTTTTTAAGGTTGAAGTTGAACCTATCAGCGTTGGAAGATTTAATAAATTTTTTGACTGTAAAATTTTTATCATATTAAACTTTTTAATAATTTTGGAGTTTTTCAAAACGCTTAAACATTAACATTTTACTTCGATTTAAAAATAAACTATTTATAAACAATATTTAAAGGAAACATTTCTTGTCCAATAATTTTGCTATTAAACAACAGTTAGTAGAACTTCAACACAGTTTTGAAGAGTTAGAAAATTAGAAAAATTAAAAAGTTAAAGTTTTATTAAGGGCCATTTTCACTTCCAATTAAAGGAACTTTTTAGAATGTGAAATTTTTGTTAACAAGTCCCTAGAATCAGCACATTCCAAGCCACATTTAATTTAAAGCTTCTTTAAATTCGATTATGAAATTGGACTTAACATTTTTGTAATAATGCATTTTTAAAATAAGAAATTTTTACAATTAGTATTTAAAAAATGGTAGTGCTCAAAATACTCAAAGTATAGTGATAATAATATTTATTATATATTTTTTGCAAGTTTTATAACCTATTGTTTAATTTTAATAACTATACATTATGTGATAAGATCTACAAAAGGCTATTACGAGACGATAAACTAAATAATTATTATTTTTTAAGTTTTTAAGTTAGTCAACACTTTTTGAATAAATACTCAGTGTTTTAATTCAGAGTTTGTCCAGATTTTTCGAAGAAAACTTTTTCAGTAAACTAAACATTTTTCATACGATATAAGAATTTTTTTTATTCTAAATGTCATTTTAATTATCACTATTTTATAGTTATTTATTATACAAGAAGATAAACAATCTATATCGTCGTGTATAATATTTCGTTTTATTTTGAATTTCTTGAATATAAACAGTAGATAAAAATCACTTTATTTAGACGATAAAAGGGCGCGATTTCTGGCGCACCCTGTATATTTGAAAAGGGAAGACGATTCCCAAAGTTTTTTGCGAAAAATTCAATTGACCTTTTCTTTACGTTAAGGGACGGAATAATTGAATTTTTAAGGGTAGCATCTCCTAAACACTAGACGACATTTTTTCAATTTTTATTCTAACGTTGATAAAATCACTTTTATCCTATGTAATTTTCTCAGAAAATCTAAAAACGATCACGAAAATTTTCCATTTTTTTGTTTTTTCTGT